CCCACACTTTGAACCAAAAATAAGAATTTAAAACTTTCCCGCTCCTCTAAATCAGGTTTTCAAGCACAATGTAGAACTCATGTATCCAAATAATTTTGTTAAAACGTTTGTTGGACAGCTACAGCGACAAAACTGGCAAGCGAAGGAAACAGTACATGTGATTGAAGGTGGACAATTTTGGAGAGGCTCACCAGCAGTGCGGAAAATCTACCAATTTTGGCAAACACAGCTAACCTATATACATATACTCACGTGCCACCCTTCTGGCTAGCATCCGCACTCACTGCACCTCTTCAAACCACATTCTGATAAGACTATACAGATACATGCAATTCAAACAGTTCCTCGTAGATCTTTTGTGCTAGTTTCCTCAACATCAACGCTTGCTCCCTCTCAGATCTTGTTCCTGCAGCACCCAGCCAGAGAAATCAATATGCATCTCACATACTTTTCAAATCCCCTTAGTAATATTTCTCAACTAAGGTTTACCGCCTAGACTGTGATTCTGCGGGCAAAGCGAATAAAACTGACAGTGAAATTCGAAGATGAGCAAGAAAAATGCCCAAATAGCAGTGCAGCATCGCAAACCTGTTTCGCTACCGTATGCCTCCGTACTAAGGCCTCAGAATATGAATGCTAGATCGGGTTTTGGTAGAGTAAAGAAAATAATAATGCTTCCGACAGCCAGCTACTCATAATTTTATTCAAGGTAGTCAAAGACCTTACACTATACTGTACTCATGCACACAATTTCCCAGAAGTTACTTTCACTACTTTTTCCAAATCATTTCAACGAACACGTATAATATCCAACAGATACTTTTTACCTTCCTAGTAGACCGCTAATCAGTGGTATCCCGTCAGAACACCAAATAAAAGCAATCATTTTTTGCGTAGATAGAATGGCCCAATTATCACTGGGAACTTCCTAAGCAGCTTGCACGTTTCTCAAAACTTTTGTCTCATGACTGACGTTGGGAAACTACTTTGCTTGAAAGTACTCCTCACAGAGGCGAAACCAGTAGTAGAAATAGAAACAGTAAGGTCTCATTTGTTTCAATTTTCCTGCCGGATTCAAAAGCCTGGACAGTCACCATTTGAATACCTTTAATCAGCATAAATAATCGTGGAAAATCACTAATTTTTAACAGAAAGTATACAAATAAATACGGTAATTTCAAGAATAAATATTCCTTTATTCTTCATCTTCATCATTTCTCTCACTGCGATAACACAGTCATCACTGGCAATGGTATCTGCATGAATGTCATCCTTGTCAACTTTTAAAAATTATCTCCCACGTTCAAACTTCAGTATCCCACTACAAATGCTATTTTCGAGTTTCACGGTTTCGAAACACCCCGCGTAAACGTTCGTTATGACCACTTTTTCGCTTCATACAGAAAAAGAGTAACTCTTCCTCAGGAGTTATAATGTCTTCTATAGCTTGAAAATCTTTTAAAAAAGTTTACGCAAAACAAGACCAAGTTTGTTCGGAAAAAAACTGCATTCGCCCATTGAAAAAATACATCAGGACTTGCGTATTCAGGATAATACTGATTTGGGTTGTCAGCCACTTTTATCACTCTAACTTCTGAAGGACAATATGAACACCAATCACTTCGTTTGCTGTCAAACGTCATGAACCCTTCCTGCTTAGTGCGTTGCAATTAACCATTTTCAACCCTCTGTATTGTCAGATGCATCAAAACGGTTATTAGTAAAAACCTTTAATCACTGTCCATGAAGGGGACTGCCAAAAACTTTTGCCGGGCAAAAATCGCCAAAAATCGCGAAATTCCAAAACAAGCATGCCAGCAATCCTGATCGTAGTCTTCTGCAAACGTAACGTTCTCTTATCTCTCTTAACGACTAACTTCCGCCGTGTGAAGTTTTTCCACTAGTGCTATCCCAACCAACTTTCTTGTCCCTCATCTATTTACGAGACGCACCCGGGACTGTGTTAAGAACGGTGAATAAAGTTAATTTGAAGCAGAATACCCTAATTCACTTCAGACAATTCAATCAGATTGAAGAAAGCATGGTTAACAAACGAAATGAATAATTGGGAAAAACGGAACTTTTCAAAACAGTAGAAGATGAAAAGATCAAATTCAAAAACTCGAGACATATGAGAGACCGTTAACGATCTGAAACGCTCAATGTTTCAAAAAGTGAATGAAAAGAGCTATTTATTTAAGCAGATGAGAACAGTCTACACGTCCAGATTTTAACTACATGTAGACGATATGTATTTCTTTATCTAAACGTGTCCTTGACAATGGGTGACGCTGTGAGCATGTTTGGCAAAACTGAACATTTCCAGTGAAATAGGGTAAACTGTAATGGGCTAAAAAAATAGAACCCATTGCCAAAAGAGGCTGGAAAACGACGTTCGGGAGCATTTTTTCAAAAGGAAGTTCACTCTGGTAAATTTTACGGAGCTGTATGAAAAAGAACACATTTCTCAATAAAAAAATAATTTCCCGTTAAAAAAACCCCATCGGCAACTCGCTAAAATCCGATTACTGCCTTTTAAAAAATCCTCTTGACCAGTTATATCAAAGGTTGCTGATGGTCAGTTTATGTACTACCTAGTAATCAGACTAAATCTAACCTGTGCCACAACTTTAAAAAGTCGCATTCGACTAGAGCTTTACCAGCAAATTTTTGGAAATACAAGTCCAGCACTGAAAAACGAAGTTTTATTAGCCTAAAAAATCCACACTTCAAACAGGGGAAAATTTCCTGTCCAGCATTAAGGATATCCTAACTGTACAACTTTACGTACAGGAAACTGGTCAAGAGGATTAAAAGGCAGTAATCGGATTTTGGCGAGTTGCCGAGTTTGGCAGTTTGCCAGGTTATTTTAACGTTCCGAATAATGCTAAGCTGAAAACGGAGTGTATTATGACTAAATACAGATTGGCCATTACAGTTTCGAAATCGGCGGTTAGTTCCAAGATGATAACAGCCCATCAAATGCGAGGCACAGCCGTGTGTCCATATTGAATTGCGAATAGCGTTCGATTGGTTTTGAGGTATTCAGTTATTTAATGGCTTAATTTCTAAAAAATATTCAGAACGATCTGCAAGTCGCCAACGTGAAGACTTTTTTCGGATCAACTGCCTTTCGGGTCCCTGCAGTTGTTTTCTCCACCGTCACATCCTTTCTGTGCCTTTAACGATCGTGAGGTAGTCATAGTAATTCGCTTATAGTTCAATTTTTTCCAAAATTCTGGATTTTCAACTATAGTTTGGTGCAAAAGTTTAGCTTCTGGGGAGATTTTTTCGGTGGAATTCGTTGCAGTAGAATTTTTAATCTTCAGGAAACTACCGTGGGGTGCTTTTACAGTTTAACATGTCAGCCTTTCAAACCGGCTGGCTTTTGAAAATAACCTGCCTTTGCTCGCTTATGTTTTTGGTTCTTGACGCTGATCACGCATTACGTTTCCAAATTTGTCTATATATTTCTTCATATTTTTTTGGAAATTGGATTCTAAGCTTGACTAGAGCCCTCGCGCAGTTTTAAAAAATCGCTGCTTGAATTGAGTGTGGTGTTACAGATAACAACTACAGTTTTATAACTGTGCATTATTGGATTTAATTCCATGCGGGACTTAAATTCTGCCTTTTTGGAAGTTTTCCCGTCGCTGTGCGAGCATCTAATTCAGCGAGGTTCTTGAAACACGCTCTTTT